AGATAAAAATGCATCCAAATTTTCTTTAACTTCCAAATTTTATGCCGACCAATTGAACAAGCAACTAGTTGCGAATGTATTGAAAGGAGGTCATTGGGGAAGCTATCGTCATTTACGTTTGGAACAACAGAACGACGCGTCGTCTCTGCAAGTTGAGCATGCTTACATCAATACTTTGATTAGAGGTGACTTGACTAGTTTAAGATGGATCGAAAGTTCCTTGAGTTATTATCAGCCTGAAAAATATCCAGGCACTGAAATGTGTAGCGTTTATTATGCTCCTTTGAATTTTAGGTAAATTTTTCTAATTCATCAAGATCTTATATTATTCATCAAGTTGTGACAATTTTCGAATGAATAATAATTAATGATATACTTTTTTTTCGTGATATTATAATAATATAGAGACATCATGTTAGCTACTGGAAAGTTACCACCAGATGCATTACCAGGTGACATGGCTTCTCAAGACTGTATTTTGGGTCTTGAATTTTCTGGTAGAAATACCAAAGGACAAAGAGTAATGGGAATGGTAGCGTCTCGAGGATTAGCAACAACCGTTTTAGCAGATCCAGGATTTATGTGGGAAGTACCCGATAAATGGAGTTTAGAACAAGCAGCGACTATTCCAGTTGTTTATGCGACTAGCTATTATGCTCTCTTTATACGTGGTAAATTGCGACCAGGTGAAAGCGTTTTGATTCATGCCGGTACCGGTGGAGTTGGCCAAGCAAGTATTGCAATAGCTTTACATGCTGGATGTAAAGTATTCACTACGGTAGGATCTGAAGAGAAACGAGCTTTCTTAAAAAAGACATTCCCACAATTGACGGATCAAAATATTGGTAATTCAAGAGATACCAGTTTCGAACAGTTGATTTTAACTGAAACTAATGGACGCGGAGTTGACGTTGTTTTGAATTCATTGGCGGAAGAAAAGTTACAGGCTAGCGTGAGATGTCTTGCAAGGGATGGTCGATTCCTTGAAATTGGTAAATTTGATTTAGCGAATGACAGTTTTCTAGGAATGTCTGTATTCTTAAAAAATACCACGTTCCATGGTATATTATTGGATGCTCTATTTGAATGTGATTGTCCAGAGAAAAGAGAGGTAGTAAAATTAGTCAATGAAGGAATTAAGAATGGAGCTGTAAGACCGCTCCAGTCAACAGTCTTTTCGGAACAACAAATTGAACAAGGATTTCGATTTATGGCTACTGGTAAACATATTGGCAAGGTATTGTTAAAGATACGTGATGAAGAAACGCAGAAGGTCGTGCAACCATTTTCAAAGACTGTACCAGCTATTCCACGAACATACATGAATCCAGACAAATCGTATATACTTGTTGGAGGTCTTGGTGGATTTGGATTAGAACTTGCAAATTGGATGATAACTCGAGGTGCCAAGCATATTGTTCTTACCTCAAGATCAGGTATACGTACTGGATATCAAGCGTTGTGTGTTAGACGTTGGCGTGAATCCGGTGCAAATATTGTCATTTCTACAACCGACGTTACAACATTAGCTGGTGCAGAGAAATTAATTAATGAATGTAATAAGATAGCTCCTGTTGGTGGGATATTCAACTTGGCTGTTGTTTTGAACGATGCACTCATTGAAAATCTTAACGAAAACAATTTCAAAAATGTTGCATTACCTAAAATTGATGGCACAAAGAATTTAGACTTAGCCTCTAAGAAATATTGTCCATCGTTGGATTACTTTGTTGTATTTTCATCGGTATCCTGTGGAAGAGGCAATTTAGGACAAACTAATTATGGCCTTGCTAATTCAGCAATGGAAAGAATAGTAGAACAAAGACAATCCAATGGTTTACCTGGTTTGGCTATTCAATGGGGCGCCATTGGTGACGTTGGTATAATTTTAGGTACGATAATGATGAACTTTCACTTTTAATGCGTGAAATATATATTATTATTATTATTATTATTATACATAATAAGCGATATATATATATATAATGTTGTTATTTGTTGTTTTACAGAAAGTATGGGTAATAACGATACAGAAATAGGTGGTACTCTTCCACAACGTATAAACAGTTGTCTCTCAACATTGGATGTATTCCTTCAACAATTTCATCCTGTTCTATCGTCTATAGTTTTAGCGGAAAAACATAAAGCGACTGATAATTCGAATCAAGTTACTCTCATACAAGCTGTTGGAAATATTTTAGGAATCAAAGATGTAGACAAAGTAAATCCAAGTAATACTTTGGCTGATTTAGGAATGGATTCATTAATGGGCACTGAAATAAAACAAACTCTTGAAAGGAATTACGATTTAGTTCTATCAGCTCAAGAAATTCGTGGACTGACGTTTAATAAATTGTTGGAATTATCATCCGATAATAACACAGATGCGAACGATACTGCTGCAACAACTGCAAATAGTAATACGGCAGAAAATGTAACAGACGAATTACTATTCCAATATTACGAAACTGAAATTGTACCTAAAGTAACTCTCGTAGAATTACAAACTAAGAATTCAAAGGGCACACCATTGTTCTTGATTCATGCTGTAGAAGGAATCATATCATCTCCTCTGAAAACTTTAGTTGCTCAATTAGATCGACCAGTATGGGGACTTCAATGTACCCAAGATGCTCCGCTTAATTCCATATCGGAACTGGCTCAATTCTATATAAAGATGATGAAACAAGTACAGAAAAAGGGTCCCTTCCATATAGGAGGATATTCCTTTGGTGCCTGTATAGCTTTCGAAATGGGATTACAATTAGAAAAAGCTGGTGAAATTGTTGTTTTAACTCTACTCGATGGTTCACCAGCTTTTATTACTTCGCATTCGCAGAAAATTGGAAAACAAGGTACTCAGGAAGATGAAAATGAATTATTTGATGGCTGTCGAAAAGCTTTGGCATTCTTCTCGAAACAATTTAGAAAGGATATCAATTATCTTCAGGTAATAAATAACAATAATACTTTCAATTAAATTTTATAATTACTTTATTTCTAATATATATTGTTAATAAAAACAATATTTATTATTTACACAGGCATATAGTATATTAAAAGACACGAAAACTGAAGAGGAGACGTTAGATAAAATGTTAGAAGTAATTGGTAGTAGTACGCCATTCAAATCAGAGGAATTAAAAATCGCTGGTATGTTATTTTACAAAAAATTAAGAGCTGCTAATTTTTATCGACCCAGTGACAAATTTAAGGGTGATATTACATTACTCAAAGCCGAAGACAATTTCGTAGCATTGAATTACGATTATGATCTTTCAGAGGTAATTATTATTATATCATTTAACTTTTATTACTATTCTCTCTCTCTCTCTCTCTCTCTTAAGTTTTAAATATCCATTTGTAACTTTTACTTTTTCCTGTTCTGCAGATTTGTAGGCAAAAGATTAAAGTCGAGGAACTACCAGGTAATCATAGAGATATTTTAGTTGGCGAGGGTAGTAAAAAAATAGCAAACGTTTTGCGAGTATAAAATTTATTTTCAAAATAAAAAAGGAAAAAACCATTTTTTATTTTTTTTTTTTGTTAACTATACCAATGTTTTTTCAATACCAAATTTGATACTTTATTCTGTTGCATATCTATGAAGACGTTTCTTTAAACATCTTTAAGATATTAACGTTCTGTAAAGTATCGTGATATATTGTTTAATTAAAAGTATCATTAATGATAGAAAGAAAGAAAGAAAGATATAAACAAAAAAATATATAAATGTATTTATATATATATATCTACAGAATTTAGTGATAATAATGACTCGTATGCAAAGTTTTGAAAGTTCCTTTTGTACAAACATTCCTTCGTCGTAAAGAAAAACTGTCTATATATGTAATATCGTTTATTGAAACATAAACTTTTGCTTTGGTGATTTGGATGATGATAACAACTTTTTCAAGTAAACGCATGTTTGTTTTTACATAAATTATATCAAAAAAAAAAAAAAAAGAAACAGCGTGCCAAGCACAGAGCTTTAGTTTATATAATTATAAGTTATTAATAATTAATATAATTTAAATTATAATTGTGTATAAAATAAAAAAAATATATAAAGGACTACTATAAATAAGTAGTTTGATGATAAGTTCGTGATGATAATAATAGACACGAAAATAATACTAGTAGAAAGATGATGAGAAAAATGAGAGATGTCTAAAGTAATATTAAATCTTTTCGCTGGTTATTTGTGGACAAAATAACCATCGTTAAGTTTTATAGTTATATTATCATTATATTTATTCTATTATTATCATAATCATTTGTTGTGTTGTTTATCTCTTTAATTGTTTTTTTGTTTTTTGTTTTTTTTTCTAATATCGGTATGTATGAAAGGCACAGAAATAACGCAGATATCATAATTAAATTGTTTTAACAAAGAGTATATGAGGTATTCGCGCGTCTACTTTTTTAGTAGAATACAAATTAATATAAATATGATATTTGTAAAATATATGCTAGAAATATATTTTTTTTTAATGTATGCCTTTGTTTGCACTAACATTTTTCTTTCTTTTTCTTTATGATTTCATTTAAAATTAAGATAAAGTCGCCCGCGCCGCGTGTTGTTCTCTATAAGAATTCCTCTTTTTGTGTGTGTCTCTTGTTTTGCTCACTTGACAAATGGAAACATTATTTGGAATCCTTTATTTGTCTCTCGTATTTGATTTGATCGTCCAACTAGGAACATTCCCTTGGATGTATACTATTCTATAAAGCACATTAAGCTGAGAATGCTACACTCGTTTCTCCATTCTGAATAATTTACTATTGTTTATCAATTTTTGAACAAAATATGAAAATTTCATATCTTCAGGAATAATATTTTTTATAAATACTAATAGAATTTCATAGAAAAATTAACATTAATATTAAACTTTTACTGCTATTATCATTGTTGTGTTGTTATAATTATAATTATTTATTTTAGTACACATTCCTATTTATTATTATTATTATTATTATTATTTCATTTTAGCATTTAACATTTGAAATATTTAACATTACGGTTTTTTCAATCATAATAATAATTACGACAATTTATATTACACTTTCCTACTTACTATTATTATCTGAATGATTTGTCAAATAAATTATACTTTGTGTAAATGTAAGAAGTTAATTTAGATTCATAAAATATATTATAATATTAACCCTTTGAGAGTGGCAGAGAATGCAAAGACAGTTTGTAATTGTTGATAATAATTTAGTAGTAATGATATTTTGTTTGGAAGAATGATCATTATACATATGTATAACTGACTTAGTTATGCTTAGTAAAGTATTCCATCTTCACAAAGTGCTTCTGCCAAGATTATTCAATACACACACACAAAGCTTTCAAATGATAATATTACATTATTTTACATTGATATAAAAATGCCACTATTAAATTGCCACTATTTCATTATATTACGATAACTTGGATCAGTAATAGCTGCATTCGAATTACACGTGAAAGATACGGTTAATGCATATCGAGTTCCAGATTGGACTTTTTCAACCATATGCACATTTTCACTACCTGATGTGAACAGTAATACTCTACCTAAGAGACACAACAAATTTTCTATTTAATTTTCAATATTAGATATTAGATAATATTTTAATATGAAACATAACACACACACACACAACTTACCCTTTCGTGGTTCTACAGTACTATTGACATTGTTTTCGTTAATGAATATAAATCTACCTCCTTTGAAATCTCTATCATAATCATTTAAATACAGTAACGAGGTATAATGAAAGTGTTCATATGTTTCCTATAAATAAACAAAATATATTCTTCAAATACTTTATATACATATATATATATATATAAAATTGAATCTCTGTAGGAGGACATCATATTTACCTACCTTATCAACATGTGGATGCCAATATTCATCGTGTATAGTTTTAGCTGGCACATTAGTCATTTGCGAAAAGAAAGTTGGTTTGGTTAAATGAATCTTATCAACATTTACTCCAAAATAATGTGCTATGGAATGCTGTATCTTGGTCTTAACTACTCTAAGAACAAAGATCAATTTTGACATATAAAAAGAAAAGAAAAGAAAAGGAAAAAAAGACAACAACAACAAATATTAATCATAAATATAGTAATGTAGTTGTTCTTACTTATAAATGGCAAAATCAGCAGCGTTAAATATTTTATCTTTTCCTTCTAGTTGATAGATGTTAATGAATTTAGATCCTTTACTCAATGCACCAGAGTGAAGATCTAAGATAGTTGCACCACCATCAGAACCACCTAAACTCATACCGTTAATTGCAAGTTTTAACAAAACATCGCTCTCTGCTGAAGTAACTAATTTATCTGTTACCATTCTTCCACATTTTTCTGGTAAACAACCAGGAAATTGATTTAATTCATTTTTAAATTCTTCTGAACACTCTACGGTTTGCGTTCGGGTTACCAGTATATCTTTTTGTTTTGCTAATTGTATTTCTTTACCATTTCTACTATTATACCAGACGATAAACAAAACGCCAACTATTAAGATGCAACGTGACCATACTCTTTGATACGGAAACGAGATAGAAGGTCCAAATTTTCTACAAACAATTAATACATTTCAATCATTATTATTTATTATCATATTATACATTTAGGAAATAGAATATAATTGAGATAAATAATCAAATGAAGAATAGTGTTTATATAGAATGATGAAAGGAAAGTTAAGAAATTGAAATTTCCATATTGTACAATAAATTCATACTAATAATAAGAGAGTTACAATTAAATCGATCGATATTCTGTCTATTGAATGAAAAAGTGTGGTTACAAGTATATGATACATACGACATTTTGACATTTTTATTCGTATCGGTATCTACATCTTCTTTCACATTGTTCTGCGCTTGTATTACTTTTTCCTTCTTAACGTCCTTTTTCCTCGGCTTTTTACTGTCTTGTGACATATTTTAATTAATATGCTTTCTCCAATGTTTATATTTACAGTAATAATGTCGAAAGGTCTTACTTCTGTAGTAACAGGTGGTGCAGAGTGCGCCACATATGCGTGCATTTCTTTGATAAGAAATAATGATAATAAATTGTCAATACTTTTGTAATTATTAAATTATGCTGCAGAAAAGAGAGAGAGAATTGATTTTTCCTTATAATAAAGAATCAATAAATGTATGTTATCAACAATAATTTTACTTAATATTCAAAATAAATGGAATTATTAAAGTCAAGCAACGTGGGCATGATTAATGAAGTGGATGGGTGACCCGTTCGACAAAAAAAAAAAAAAAACTACTCAAAAGACACGCGCATAATTTTTAATATATTATTCTAATCGATTAATATTTCAATTATTTTGAATTATTTCAAAGAATTTCAAAATGATGAGTATAGCGCATGGGCAACGAAGAAATCTTAAGTTATTGGTTTGACTTTGACCGTGTTGTCATAGAAACGTATTAAAGCATGGCCGATTGCACTACAGTTTACGATTACCAGCCGTTCAAGAAGGTGATGATTAAATACTTAACACTTTAAATGATATTTTAATTTTAAGTAAGTACTTACTTAATATATACTTTTTATTCATTATTATTAGTTTTATTTTATTGAAATAATGAAAATAGATCGAGTCAAGTATAACACAAACGTAGTTTTTTTCTGTTTTCTTTTTTTTTTTTTTTCATGATCATTATAACCATTTATTTATGATTATAATTAAGTTTTACTAATTTATCAATGTTGGTATTTGAAAATATTGATAATTGCAATCAATATTTTTCAGTTTACTTAACTTTCGTATAAAGGAACGAAAAAACAAAACTATAGTATGGTAATAATAGCTAAGAGAAAATTCTAATCGATATAACAATATATTGATATTTCTCATTTCTAAGAACGATTTTGTTAAAACGTATCACTAATGTATAACGTCATTAATATGAAATATTTATTAATCATTACCGTTGCCGTTATATGCGTGTACATATTGTTAATGGTTCCCCCGTTTCTATATCCTCCCGCATAGAGACACATTACAAAGAGAGAAAGAGAGAGATAAAAAAAACATTTTTTAATACTTTTCAACTATATTGTAGAAAATGTATTTGCATCATTTATTACAAGTACAACATTTTAAGAAATATTTCAATTGGATAAGGTGGATTGGTGGTGTTTTTTTTTTTTTTTCTTTAAAGAAAAATCCATATTCTCGCGTGTCTCAAACTCGGCTAAGAAAATGGTAATCTCAGGAAACGGCGCATACATGAAAAGTAACCCAGATTAGAGTTAGGTTCTCTGTACCCTTTGGTCTAACACAAAATACAAGGTTTAATATAGGTAGTATATGGGCGCGTGATCACCTTTATATTACCTCTTATAAAAACAATGCAAAAGTTGAATCGACCTTATTCGCTTATTAAAATCGATATAAGATGTGTTACTTCGTGAATCATCATCAGGACTAAAGAAAAATTAAATTCGAGCGTAGTACCATACCACCAACCAACCAACCAACCAACCACCATATCAAGTAACAAAAAGTTATTTCTTTTCATTCAAATTTGGAGAATAAGTATAACTCACGAAGGTCTAGTTCGAATGAAAATAGCGAGGAAAGCTTTGACGTGTCATTCGTAGTAAAACTATCGCACACAAGTATGGTATTATATCGATTCAACCTTCAAGTATATATGATCGAGCTTTTATAAGAAAAGACAAGTCTAACTGGACATTGATTCGTTTCGCCAAATCGCCAAATAAAACAACAGAAACTTGAACAAACTTGAGAATTTCATTGATTATTTCATTGATGATTTATTTTGATTGGGCCAGATGAATTGTCTTTCTTTCTTTCTTTCTTTCTTTCTTTCTAATGAATATTAGATTTCATATCGTTTGAATTATCTTTAGGTAGAATCTTAAATTCCATTTTTCTATTTGCAATTATTACAGTAATGTGAGAGATGTGACACGTGTATAGCCGTGCGGTTAGCGTGATAGTTCAAACTCCTGATTGTACGAATGCGGAGAAAAATGAATCGGTATATAACATTGAACCAACTTGGTGACGGTACCTTTGGTTCCGTTGTTCTCGGTGAACGCATTGACACTGGTGAAAAGGTCGCCATCAAGAGAATGAAAAGGAAATACTATTCTTGGGAAGAAGCTATGAATCTTCGCGAGGTCAAGGTCAGGTTTTCTATTATAAATTCTAATTTTTTACAATTCATTCAAATGATATTTTTCTAGAAAAATCATTAATTGTATAATATATAGAAGTTTTCAAGTTTATATCTCCTGTTATCGCTTTTCTTTACTTTGATCAAAGTTTTATACGCAATTGACGATAATGAAACTATTTACAGTCCTTGAAGAAACTTAGCCACGCGAACGTTGTAAAGTTGAAGGAAGTTATTCGAGAAAATGACGTCCTATACTTTGTCTTCGAGTATATGAAAGAGAACCTCTATCAATTAATGAAGGATAGGTATAATTTTCTTCTCTCTTCTCTCTTCTTTCTTCTTTCTTCTTTCTTTTTAATATAACATATTATATTATTCAACGTTGATCCAATTTGTTTGGTTTCTTTGTTTTTTTTTCTTTTTTTGTTTTTTTTTCCTTTTCATTATTTTTCAGAGACAAACTTTTCCCAGAACCGGTAATTAGAAACATGGTGTATCAAGTATTACAAGGACTCGCTTTTATGCACAAACACGGTTTTTTCCATCGTGACATGAAACCGGAAAATTTATTATGCATGGGACCGGAATTAGTCAAGATAGCTGACTTTGGATTAGCCCGGGAAATACGGTCGAGGCCACCCTATACCGACTATGTGTCGACTAGATGGTAATTAATGAATTAATACAGAAGGAATTTCATGAGAATTATATTTCGTTGAAATTGACGACAGGTATAGAGCACCAGAAGTATTACTGCATTCCACAAATTACAACAGTCCGATAGACATTTGGGCCGTTGGATGTATCATGGCTGAGCTTTACACATTTAGACCATTATTTCCTGGTAAAAGTGAGATAGACGAGATCTTTAAAATATGTTCGGTTATTGGTACACCAGACAAAGACGATTGGCCAGAAGGTTTTCAATTAGCAGCAGCAATGAATTTCAAATTCCCAAATTTTACGAAAACTTCATTAACTATATTGATACCTAATGCTAGTCAAGAGGCTGTGATACTGATGGAAGACATGTTACAATGGAATCCTATAAAAAGACCAACGGCACAACAGTCATTGAGGTAAGGAAGGAGGAAGAGGAAGGAAATCTAATCATTTGGTACATTTGATATGGATGAATTTTCTTCTATATTGTAGATATCCATATTTCCAAGTTGGTGTACCGCGTGTGGTTAGCAGTAAGAAAATCGGAGTTGCGTCACAGAGAGAATTGATAATGAACAAAGTCAATCTTCCAGCGCCGATTCCTAAACAATACAATTATCCGCAGCAGCAGCAGCACCAGCAGCAGCACCAGCAGCACCAGCATGAAGTTATCAATAATAACGTAGTACAATCTAGGTAAAATATGTTGGAACATAATACAACATAATGATATTTGAAATATAATGTATTAGTTAGAAAAACATATATTTCAGAATGCAAGAGAAGAATATACAATTACCGCAGCAACAACCGGTATTACCATTGTTGAATCATAATAACCGTAAACGTGATAACCATTCGTCTAAATGGGACGAAGATGATTTCGCTGATCTTTTAGGGTGTGTTGCACGAATAACATAATCAGACCTAATCAAGACGTCGCGCTCGTCAGTTATCTAATACTTAGTGTCATTGTCCGATCGTCAGAAGCAAGATAGTTCCAGAGAGCATGGAAACTAAGCTACTACCTGATCGAGTTTACAAAGAAAATCGTGCCAATTGGAATGCCAACTATGCCGAACCGGACAATTTCAAGCAGACCAATGCCAATTGGTCGTTGCCCGTTTGGAACGAGACGGTGCAATTAAAGAATTGGAATCAGCAACAACAACAACAACAATTGCAATCGGCCACGAAAAACGCTAGGAAGGTCTCAGCTAAACAACATTATCTCAGTGTGGCTCGGTACGTCGCTGGCCAAACCACCAATTTGTCGTCCAGGTATCGAAACTTTCGAAATACTATCGCGACCATTTTCCTTATACATTTGGTATTGATCCTTCTTAGTCTTATCTTTTATCTTAGTTGTCCGATCGAATTATTACTAAATGCTTTACATCATATTTTTCCAATATTTTTTAATTATGATCAAACTTTTGTTTTTTTACAATGGTTACACAAGTCTTTGTGGAATACTAATCATACAGAATCGTACAATTCCGAAGTGAGTAGTCGATCGTTCATTATTCATTTAAAAGATATACTAATACAATTTTTCTATGCTAAATCTTTATCAAAATCTTTATCAAAATTTGACAAAACTTTCATAGAATTTACTCACAATTTGACTGCAATTTCTACTAAATTTACTCGTATTATTAATCAAGTAATTATCTCTATTTTTTATCCATTGTACGTTTTGAAATATTTATATGAAATATTATATAGGTTCTCTCTCTCTTTGATTAAAGAATTTTTCGCAAGTCAACTTACCGATAAAATCAATTATTTATTCGCCAACTTTTTCACTTATTCCAATATTATATGGTTGCTATTGTTTTTTATGGGGATTTCTTCTTTTGCTTTATATTTTCTTAAGTATTACCAATTAAAGAAAACAAAAAATGGAGAGTCAGTGCCAATTGTTAATAATTGTTGATACGTATCGATCATTTTCTAAATGATTCTAAATGATTCTAAATTATTCTAAATTAATTATTCGATTGAAACGGAAGCAAATGTAAATCTATATTCATCCCATGTAAATCTATATGTTCCTTCAATAAAACAATTCCTTACCCGTATTCCATCTCTTTTCAATTGTCTAATAATTTGACTGTTACGTATATTTATATATCATTTTACTTGTATTTCTTTTTTATTGATTTATTTAATTGAAGAAACGGAGATACCGATTCGCATGAATCAAGGGTGACGATGAACGGCACGACAATGATCGGTCCACCAAGTTCAGAAAAATACGAAGAATTCAATGACTCTTTTTGGGGACCCAGAGAGAACGTTGACAATCAAACGAGACAACATTATCTTCCAAGAAATCGTTTTACCAGTGTTTATGGTACGCAAAATATCAGTGAGTATAATACATGTATATCGTCGTATCGTCGTATCGTCGTATATAAATTATATACACAATAAATATATGAAATCATTTGTCTATATTTTACAATTTTGTCATCATATATTTTATGCCTTAGAACCTCAAAATAAATCGGCCTTACAATCAAATCTTTTTGGAAGTGTCCTAAATGTTCGAGGAAGTGGTGGTCTCCACGGTAGAACTGATTGGGCTGCTAAATATCTCAAATGACCACCACGTTACAATTCATCCTGAAATGGAAGTTTTCATTTTTACTGATACTTACCTTAATCTGTGATAGAATGATTTTAATCGTTCCAATAACGGTAGCATCTTGCAGGATCGATCGTTCATTATAGAAACTACATTTCTATTCCGTAACATTCAATATCCATCAATTGCAGCTTTCATTTGTTCTTTTTTCTAATTAAAACAATTTCTTTTTTTTTTTTTTTTCAAACCCATGTAAAAAGAAAACGTGCGCGATCGTGTTTATCGTTACATAAATATCAATGAAAGCTAGGAAACTCAACGATCATAAAATATCATATTTCAATGTCCATAATATAGACGAATTTCAGAGCCAAAAAATGCTATAATAGAATATATTAACGTAGTATTCGAATAATTAATATTATAATATAATCATTATTTAAGATGTATATATATATATATATGCATATTGATTATTTGTACATAGTAATATTATCGCGACATTGAGTAAAATCTCTTTTAATTTTGATTAATTCTTAAACGATTATGTCAACCCTTTTCTGATCGATTGATTTATTTATTTGATTGATCTAATAGCAGAGTAATATACTCAGTGTCGTATTTGATACAATAAAATATATGGAAGTAAAGAAATGATAATAAAAGTAATGGTATAATATAAAAAAAAAGAATAAGAATTATTTCTATTAGTCATTAAGTGTAGTTTTAAAAGGGGAAACATAATGTGATTTGTTATCATATTATTTATCACTCGCATAAATTCTTCTCTCTAAATTATTCTTATTTTTATTCTTCTGTTTCTTCTTCTTCTTCTTCTTCTTATTATTATTATTATAGTCTCTTTATTGAATCCTTTTCATATTCGTACTTATTATTTAATTAGTACAATTCGTATCAAGAGATGAGGGGGTTTTCTTTGTGTAAAGAACAATATACATTTTTTTCTATAGTCTTTACACAAGAGAGAGTACACAATTCTTCAATCCTAACATTAGTCCACTTTTAGTGATCATAATAATTCATTATTTGTATTAATTCATTACGAATTTAATTCGTTTCGCAAAAAAGCAATTTTTCCTTTTTCTGTTTGTTACTGTTGTACTTCCTTATGTTACGCGTAGTATATGTACAATAAAACGAGCACGATATATGTTTGATATTAAACTTAAATACGATATTTATCATTTTTATCATGTATGAATTGTATTCACGTATAGTGCGTCACGTATAGTGCACGTATAGTGCACGTATAGTGCACGTAGAGTCAGAGAAAGAATTTATATTTTTATTTATTTTTTTGTTTTTAAAGGAAAATATTATTTAATAAAAATTCTTTTCATTTTCTTTTGTTTTCTTTTTTTTTTTTGTTGCATGTATGTAGCAAAATAAGATACATACAAAGATACGTTTAACAAAAATATATATATATATATATATATATATGTTCCTTCTCTACTCTTCTCAAATGCAATTATTATTTATAATTAGTTTCGCATTATGTTTCAGTTTACACACACTTGGAAGTCATTTCTAATTACTATATAAACAAATCTACGGCTACTACTTTTTTCTCGACGATATTACTGGAATCATGTATTATTGAAAATTGTTTTGAAATGAAAAATTGTTCCTTTGAAATGTTTATTACTACCGACGAAAGACTGACTATCCCAATTTTGTTTACTCCCTTTTTTTTGTTTGTTTGTTTGTTAATTTTCATTTTTCTTTATTTTTGAATGAAGAAACTTCTCATTCCTTTTTATTTCTATGCATAGTACGCAAAGATATAGATATTTACGTATGTGATTAATGTTGTTTTTAATAGACGATATGTTTTTTGTTGCGAATATGATTTGTGTGTACATTTAACCATTGATAAAATATGTTTAATATGATTGACAGTGCTTAACATTAGATTGGATTAGTCAAATTTCATAGTAATAGGGTCTTCTTACAATTTTTTGTAGAAATGTTCTATTCAATTTGATAGATTAAAGCAGTTTAAGTTTCCAAACTTAACAAATAATAATTATCAACTAAAAAGACAAATGAAACACTTTGGGAACCATTGTATTAAACAATACAATACAATACAATACAATACAATAGAATAGAATAGAAGAAGAGAGAGAGAGAGAGAGAGAGAGAGAGAGGACTTTTTTACGATACAAAGACATTATCGCATTTGTTTCGTTATACCTTCGCAAAATTGGATTTTGTTTTTTCAGCTAGTCATTTTGGTCAATCATTGTCGATTCGGGTAAAAATCGATTTACTTTTTCGTTTGTTCCTTTTTCTTACATTTGAAATATTACAAAATTTGATTGTATCCTTCACATATTTTCTTCGATATGTCTTTAGATACGTACATAATGATCGACGACTAATTAACGAACATTTCTTCTAGTTTGACATAGATCGTTACTTATATGAGATATAAGATAGAAAGAGAGGGAGCAGCCAACTATCGTTCACACAAAGAGACATATAACAACTTCGTACATAATACCATTGTAATATTATAATTATACATTTTTCTTCATTAATTTATTTTGAAGCATCTATCTAACAGTCCATGAATTGACGATAGAGCTGCCCACAAACACTAATATTTTATTCTATTTATTTCATTCTCTTGTTTATATTCATTCGTGGTTCTCTCCAGGCAGCTCTCTAGCAACGATGATCAATTTCAAACACAACTTATTTCCAAAATCTTGCTTTCTTTTTCTTCATTATTTCGATGATATGCTTTTCTTTTATTTTTTATTTTTTATTTTTTATTTAATTTAATGCGACGATCTAACGTGAAGAGATTTTTTTGTTTTGTTTACACAATTACTATTATTGTATTATTTGCGCTTTTCAATGTCCCCTCGCTTTACAAACTAATTGTAAAATGTAAAATATAAATTCATCTATTAACAAGATTTTATTTCATTAACAAATATTATCTACTAAATAACAATTAACAATAAAATGAATAACTACTATTTAATCGATTTGATAGAAAACATTTGAAATTAAATTCAGATAATATTCAACGTGTTAACAAGGTACATATTAATTTCATATAACATTCAAATGAATTTGTTTTGAAAAAAGAAATATCCACGAATCATCATTTTCGTCTCATTATCAGTCTCAGACAAGTTTATCCATTATTCAAATATTGTACAATATTGTTCAATATTTATTTAGATTTAATCCCTAGCTTTGAATAGATCCCCAAACAACATTCTACAAATTGATGCTGGTAATGACGTCTCAAAGAATGTCATTTTGTTGACACTTTCATCAATGTGTTGTGCGTGCATTCAATCTGGTGTATTATATTTAAAATGTAATTTATATTTTTGATTCATTTAAAAAAATCTCCTTCGTTTTATGCGAATAGTTTAGTTATTATGATAAACATAATTATTGAAAGGAATGAATAGAACCAGATTGTACACAGTACACAAGTACTTTACACCGTACACAGCCTTTTAGTGTTGAGAAATCGTATTACTGACCGAGCTTGTAATATTGGCTAAAGTTTTCGTCGGTGAGATCGTCGTTGAAAAGTCCGTGAAAATTGTGCTATTAGCTAAAATAGTACTTGTCAAGACAGTCGTGAGGATAGAAGTAGTTTGTTGTAGTTTTGGTATCGTTGTTGATTTCTCTATGGTAGGTACAGTGGAAGACATGACGTTTGTTATAATATTTAAGGTTGTATTAGTTAATGGTGTTGTCGATGGTTTCCATGTTTTCGAGCATAAATATTGAGTTTGGAAAGGAGGACCGAAGCAAGCATCCATTAAATATGCTACCAACGAACCAATTGTTAAGCCCGTTATATAAGACAAAGTCATAATATTACCTGTTAAATGCATACGAACAAATCAATCAGAACACAATTAGTAGTTTACATTACCTTGTAATTAGTTGTATTCTTGAGATAGAGAAGATAGAGCTTAGCTTCATACCTGCAAGCTCGCGATGTTCCTCTGGTACTTTGCTAGGTGCTTGGATCATTGGTATACTTCCAACTATACCATTTGTTAAACCAAGCAGCCAGGAAAATACTAATGGATAACATTCATCTGATAAGATAGGTGCACTTCTTGGTATAGCGCATAACAAAAATAAAGGAATTAGTATTATCCTTGCGCTCGAGAAGTAGAGCAAGTGAGTACGTTTCCACTGGTATGGTATTGTTGCCAATAACTGTTGGATTTATTAATAAACAATTAAAAAATAGTTTATTGATGTGCTCAACTTTTAGCCTAGAGAGAATGAGATAGAATATAGTATAGAGTTTTTCGTGTATGACGGATGCAAACTACACACTCATGGTGTAATCCAGTATTACGGGTTGCTTATCTTTGGGGCAGAAAAAAAAATTCAGTCAAAGCAACATTTTCAAGCGTGTTCAGAGGGTTGCATCGCTACAGGCGCCAATTTTTATAATTATTAAATAAATAATAATACTAATAATACTCCTGATACTAATAATACTCGTCTCATTCTTTCGAAACTTGTTTTTCTTTTCTTTTACTTTAAACTTGTAAGTTTACCTTGCCAAAGAGATCTGAAACGTTGAAAGCTGTCATCAAAATAACTGGCATCCATGATTCATATTTGCAAGATACAATTTCTGATACTATTCCTGGATATAAGCAAAGAGTTACAAAGTATGCAATGCCGATACTAGCCATGTATGGGAAGATAAGTTTGGAGACTTCATATCTCGCTAATAATCCTCCTTCAAAGAAACCATTGGTTTTATTGATTGAACAGCAAAATGAATATCTTCTTGACTTATTCTCTAATAAGTTTTAATTCTTTATTATTTAACTTACTTTTAATACCAGACCAAGGTTTGCTATTTTGATTAGCATAAGATCCTCTCATTACCACAACGTCTTCAACTTTGTAAGTTGGACCAGCACTTCCTGGTGGATTTCCAGAAGGTGCACTGGGCTCGTAAACCGGATTACTAAAAGAGAATGCCGAGTATTGTCCGGTACCTAAATAAATATACAAATGACAATGAATTAAAAGTGATATTAAAGGAAAGTTCAAATGAATAATAGAGTTTAATTAGTAAAAAGTAAATTACCATTAAGATCTGTACTTGCACTGGCAGAATCAGTTCCCAGCGGACTAGTTTGTATCTTCAATATTCCATATTGACCTTTAGTTGGGTCACCCACCTGATCAAGCGGATCCATCTGTCGAATGAAATCTTTTAATCTCTCAATCCCATTGCTATTGGGAACGTTAAAATCACTCGGTTACCAGGCCAACGTCCTCCGTTGGTTCCAATGTTATGCGATTTCTCTCTTGGCATAGTGTTATGTAGAATTGTACAAAATCTGTCTTTCGTACCACTTGATGTAACACAAAACACATTAGTATCGTCAAATTAGACAATACGAAAAACATCGATGTATTACCGCGTTCATCTTTCAACAATGATTTCGTCATAATTCGATTAATCGACACCCAAAATCCAGCAACACCTACATTTCAATGACATTTGTTCATATTCATATTGTTCATATTCATATTGTTCGTTTTCTTCTTCTTATTTTCTAATGAAATACTTACTCTCTCCGGTCATAACAGCCTGAGTATAACGACTAGGAAGCATCGAAGTATATCCATAAAAGCTCGATTGTTGAACTGTTAAATAAGATTAAAAGATCATTTGAATAATAAGTTTAATAATAAGACAAGTTGTCACAATGATTTTCAATAGCAAAGACAAAACTCGATGTTACAACTCGATGTTACAACTCGATGTTAAAATATACCTGTACATCCAAGTGAGACAATAGCAACAGCTATTAAGTTGATATTGTAAGAAGTACCAGTACCAAATAATTCCCACCAAATTTCGCATATAACAACAAAATTTAATGTAACGAACGAGACCAAGTAGCCTAGGAAAGTAATTGCGATCAAAATGACGATCAAATCTATTCTATCTCAATTGAATAACTTTATGCATTTTTCTTTCTTACCAAAAGTAATTCGCATGTTCAGGGACAATGTTTCAACTAAAATATTATTAGCAAATACTGCAAAAAAGGCCATTGTAATATAAACGACTGACATGTCGAATATTACCGTTGTGCCGGGGTATCTTGTTTGAAAGTAATCCACAGCGATTATAAAGCTGTAATCATCAAAATAGAGAATAGTAATAGAAAATATATCTTATTATTATAAGGTTTATAATGATACTATTCAGTACTGAAAGGTTTTACCTGTTGTAGGGTAATAAGAAACCTATGCCGCCAAGTATCAAGGCCATATAGATGAAATTGCATTTGTCAACCGGCGGTGAAAGATGCGTGAATCCATTAGAGAATTTAAATTCATTCATCCCTCTTGCTTTTCCTAATTGCACATATCCACGACTGAGATTTTCGTCCATTTTGTTGATTTTTATCGCACTTAGGATTAATTCCTAATCGATAGATTTCAAATGATCAAAATTAACAAACAATCGAGATTATCCTGGATAGATTTTTTTTTTTTTACTTTTTTTACTCTATTTTCTATTTTTTTTTATTGATCCATGCCTTATCATGGATCGGACACTTGTAATTTATTTCAATTTATTTCAATTTATTTCGGGTTTGTTTAAGGATTAGGAAAACAGAGAGTGAGAGAGAGAGAGAGAGAGAGAGAGAGAGAGAGAGGAAAGGAGGAAGAAAGGTGCACCATGTACGCTTTTCACTGATCGGTTAATAGCACTTCATTAACGCGTTATTTATTTCTTCTCAAACACTTTATGCAGACACTTTGTATCTTGCCGGAATATTAAAAGAGCGCATGCTTTGAAATTCGTCTCATTGATTTCTGCGCGCGCAAACCTTTTATCTTCCTTATTTTTCCTTACCCTCTCTCTCTCTCTCTCTCCCTCTCCCTCTCCCTCTCTTAGTCATGTTCTTTTTAATTGAAAATATCAACTTTTTTCTATTACCGGTAAAAAGTACGTGTCAAAATAATCATTTTGTAACTTTCATTATTCCGACATATAGCCTAATTTGTATTTATTAATCAAGGACAATTATGTATGTATTATATAATGTTCGTTCTTTTCATTTTTCACATTGATAACGATGAAATTTGTATTTACAGTTAGTTATCACAAATGAAGAAAACAAATGGCAAATGCATTATATTAGGATAAGTTTCAATTGATATAAAAAATCACTTTACCGATCGGTAAAATAAAGTAATAGTTATTAAAGGTAGATGGCGATAAATATATCCCCAGTCGGTAAGATAAATTAATAGTTATTACCGTTAGATGGCAACACATATTTTACAGTCAAATGCAACATTAATCATTTTTTATATGATATATAAATATTTAATATTATAAAAATAATTATATATTTATTATGTATATATTAAATATCAAAAGAATTTTGTGCATAGTGCCAGTGGTACCATCTATTAGTAGCTAAAAGTAGTTACAAGTCTTTGCGAGCGGTCTCTTTCGCTTAGTCGGTAGTCCCCCCTTTCACTCTCGACTGTGGCGTTGTACAGATAGCACGTGCTATTATAAGTTTGCTTTCATAACAATATATAATCACAAAGTGTTATATTATTAATAGTGAAACACTATTCTTCCTGATTCTTCACATATCACTTCACGATCCATCAGTAATTATCATTGAAAAGTCGCCATTTTAAGTTTCGCCAAAGGCAAAACGAAACCTCAATCTGATTACAATTGATGCAAGAATTGAATAAAAAGAAAATATTTGTCAAAGTTTTCCTTGTTATTTGAAATGCCTACGTCTTGTAGTGTACATGGTTGTAGGAATAGATTTTCTAAAGAGAAAAACATTCAATTTTTTACGTAAGTATAATCTACTACCTAATAGTATTATTAGACTTTTATTGAACTAACCTCAATAGCATTTCTTGTATATTTTGTAGTTTTCCATTGAAGGATAAGCATAGACTCGAAGCATGGTTAACAGCGATTCGTAGAAAAGATTGGAAGCCTTCTAAGGCAAGTAGAATTTGTAGTGAGCATTTTAAGCCGCAGGATTTTTTGCATCGTCCTAGTACAGCTTTGTATCCGTATATAAGACGATTAAAGTACAACGCAGTTCCATCTGTATTTTCAAACTATCCTGAAAGTTTGGAGTTAAACGAGTCTAAATCAGAAAATGAAATGTTGTCAACGTGTGTTAGATATTTAGGAAAACGTTTCAATGAAACGGAGCAAAGTCTTCATTATTCTAGTAAATTGTATGGAATAAAACACTTCGACAAATATATAATAATTAACGTTGGAGTTGTGGATGATGCACTAAACTGCGAGCTGTCAAATGATTCTAGTTTAGACAATAGGAAGTTGAAACTTGTAAAAACATTGGTGTTGGAAGAAGAAGAAGAAGAAGAAGAAGAAGAAGAATCGAAGATATAATAGAATGACCAATGTTCTTGGTCAACAAAGTTAATAAATTAATATCATCATATTAAATCAATCAAATGAAAAATTAACAAATATTTTTGATGAATGTCGTCATTTTGAATGAACATTTTCTTATTAATCACGTGGATATACTTTCGATAAGAATTAGAATTATGTAGGTCAACAATATTAGACATATTATAAAATTTCTATTTGAAGTTAACGTTACAAATGGAAAATGTCTTGTTTAGACGCCATCTGCTTGCCAGCGGCGCCACTAATGCGGCACCACTAATGCGGCGCCACTTCTCTCTATACGTGGCTCAAGTTTGCTAGAGGTTATTTTGTTTGTTGATTCGTAAACACTGCGATCACGCTTTCTATAAATAAGAACGAAATGTGCTGGCATTTTCATTGAGCATAGCATTTCAGCTCAACAACACGATTCGATTAAAACGGTTAATAATAATAATAATAATAATAATAATTGGATTTATGCAAGATTTATTATTCGTTGTGTGCCATTATTTGTTACTCTTTGTGGCGCCACCGAGTTGCTTTGGCAAAGTGGTCTAGTGTGGCGGCGTCTAATGTGGCGTCTAATGTGGCGCGCGCTAATATACCATCATATTTTCACAAAAACATGGAAGATATTATCAATAATATAAACATTGAAGAATTTATTTCACAAATTGAAGCACGTCCAGCTATTTGGGAATTATCGAGTGACGATTATAACAAGAAAGCTGCTAAGAAGTACGCTTGGGAAGAAGTTATTACCAAATTTTATCCTCAATTTGAAAGAACATCTAGCTCTGAGAGAAATAATATTGGTAACATTATCAACTACAACATTATCAACTTTCTCTATATTTATACTGTTCTCTTGTTTATGATTATTTGTATTTTTGCAGCCTTACGCTTTCAGAGAAAGTGGAAAAGTTTGCGAGACTGTTATTCTAGAGAATTATTAAAAATAAAAAAGGAGAAGGGAGCTCCAGCTAATCGAAAACGCTATAGGTATTATAATCAATTGAGTTTTTTACAAACTGTTGTAAAGCCGATATCGGTAATAGAAAATGTTGACAATTGTTCACAAATGTTGACTGTGCCTATTAAAAAAGAAACAGAAGAGCAAAGAAGAGATACGGAAGCTTCTATTAAATCAGGTTCTCGTAATAAGAAAAGTACATCGTCGTCGGATATGAAACAAGTTTTGGAAGAAGATACGAAACTGTCGGAGGAGAATCAAATGTTTGTAAATGTTGCTGAAAAGTTAATAAGAGAACGTTGTCAAGAAACTATGGAAAAGGACGAAGACACTTTATTTGCGTTGTCGTTAGTAGCTGAATTAAAAAAGATACCAGACGATATTAAGTTTGATGTTAAATGTGAACTATTAAAGGTATTTAAGAAAGCTAGATTCAGTCTAAGCTTTCGCCCTTCTACATCTACACCCTCGACATGTTTGGTTCACCCGTTAAATTTTCCACCATTAAGCAATCAATGCCAATTGATGCAAGGCTTTAGACAAAGTAGTCAATCCAATGCAAATAGATTCACTACTACTCATACGCAAACTGCTACCTCTACGTATCCACAAACTCAAAGTCCGTTATCATCTAACGTACAGACGCCTTCACCTACATCTTCACAAACGTCACAAAATTCGTATATCGACTTTGCCGAAAATATGTAGTTTCATATAAATATACCAGATCCATGGATAATAATTTATATTTTCTTCTTCTTCTTCTTCTTCTTCTTCTTCCTTCTTTCCTCCAAATAGGCATCAATGGCTGTTTCTTCATTGCGACTCGCCAGGCGAGCACAGAGAGTAACACCTTTCATCTTCATCCTTTATCCAGGGACTTGGGACCGACCGGCAACATAACAACACAACCACTGAGCGCTACTTACACAATCCACCCACCCGGTGATTAATGTGTTAATGTGTTAATGTGTTAATGTGTTAATGGCACACGGTGTACCCACCCGTGCCCAGTAATGGTACTACTTTACTTTAGAGATCAGACGAGAACTAGGGTTTTTAGCACGGCCATCACGCTATGGCCATTAACATAAACATGACCTATATAAAAATGAAATAAAAGTAAACCACATGTATGTATTGTTTTCTTTTACAAATACACAATGGCTGAGACAATGGTCAACGGTTTTCTGTCACGTCAATAGGATTACTACACTGATCGTCATGCCGCCCTAGTGGCAGAAATAAGTATTAAAATAATATGGACAATAAAAAAGTGAATCGTGTTCATATTTACGGTCTGAAGTAAATTCGTATCGAAGAAATACTTGAAATTTGTAATCATTCGGAAAAACCTTTCTACACAAAATCATTCAATAAATTTAACAATAATACTTTTATTATACAAATCATGGCTCCGTAATAAGAAACATTTTCTGTTAACAAAATTAATCTGTTTAAAGAACACGAAGGAATAGACAAAAGTCAAAATCAAAATGAACGAAATTTCGGAAAATCCATTGGTTTTCTTCGTCGAAAATACTCATCCAATGTTTCCTATGAATGTTTATCAAGATGTAGGAAAGATAATAGAATTATCAGATACTGGATGTGATGCCATATCTCCGTCGTCTTCCATTGAAGAAGAAAAAAATGATGAAGATCAGTCGTATCTGAAGAAAACTCTTTGTCGTGAAACGACTTTGTCTTTGCAAAAGGCATTCGATGAGAAACAAGAAACAAATAGAGTTTGTATAAATTCAAATAGATTATTCATTTTCACTAATCAAATATCATTTTAAGAGAACATTTTCATCTATTTAAGTTTATTCAAGTGCAATGATTTTGTTGATATGTTGATTGTAACTTGTTGTAATATTGTATGTAACTGTACATAATACATATTATATATTAAACAGGAAAAAAGGAACAGTACAAAAAGTAATGTATTATCCAAAGACAAAGCGTTTTTAAGAAAAGTCAAAACAAAAGAAGGTACGAAGGAAAGATTCAAAATGATCAATTCAGAGGCTAATGAAAAAATAGATCAATGGAAACGAAATATTGCTGATTTTGAAAATAATCTATTAAGAGATCAAAGAAATTTAGCAAATGATAGCAAGGATCCAGTCGATCCTGATTACATATTTCCTAATGTTCATAATTATTCAATGAACACGGAACCGAACGACAAAATTCGAAAAGAATTTCGTCCAGCACAAAAGCAACAAGAAAATAAATCTAAAATAGTTTCCAATGATGTCAGAGATAACGCAAAGACAAGTCGGCAAAACAATTTGAAAGCTTTTAACAGGGTAAAAAGAAAAATGATCGACCGTGCAATAGATAAAGATGATAGTCTTTCCAATAATTCCGTTATGTTTGGTATTTTTGAAGAAAATATGAATAAAGGAAAAAGTAAGAAGTTCAGTACGAAAGAGGAAAGTAAGGAAAAGGAATTGACAGAAAATCTTCATCAGCAGCGTGTCAATCGTCAAACGAATAATAAAAAGACGATTTCAAAAAGTGCTGATTTTGATAAATCCAAACATCGTAATAAAAGTTGGAATAAATCGAATACGACATCGAAACTCGAAGAAAAGCAAGCGAAGGATATTGAATTTGTTAATAATGATAATTCAAGAGCTAAAGTTGTTTCTCATAGCGCTGGTTCGTCTTCTCGACGTGTAGAAGACATTGAAAAAGACAAAAACATGATGGCATTATCTTTCGACGATAATTCCGATACTTTGAATAGATCGATAAACAATTTCATTAAAAGATCGGACAATAGAAATCGAGTTTCGGGAAATTCTTTAGCAAGATCGATTAGAAAAGAAGGAAACATTGAAAGAAAAGATTTAGAGAAAATTGGTGCCATTTTTCTAGCCTCGAGTTTGAGAAAATCCGAAAAATTGGCGAATTCAAAAACTACCGATAACGACGATCACAATTCGAAAAATGCGAAAAACGCGAAAAACAATCAATCTGATCAATTAGAAACACCCAAGGTGAATAAAGAATCGTGTAAAAGTGAAAAATCGATCAAATCGAGAATACCTATCGCCATTTCTCGAATGAAAAATTTGAATTATTTCAAAGATTGCAATAGATCAAGATCAAGATCAAGATCAAGATTGAGATCGAGATCGGTAGTTACAGAAACCGATCGATTTAACGAAAATAAAATAGACGAATCAACGTCTACTGCTATTATTTTGCTTGACAAATCGGATTGCACGGGAGATGATAATAATGACACGAGATTGAATTGGTTTGGTAGAAAATTGGTAGAATCTCGTCAAAGAAAAATTGACGTGGAGTCGAAAGTTTTCAAGATAGCAAATGATGTTAAAGAGAAAAGGAGACAACAATTTGAGAAATGTGCTTTGCGCGAACCATCGAAAAAATTCACTAACGAATCTCAGGAGATAGTCGATATAGCAGTTACGATACTTGAAAAAGATTCTAAAGGGGAAACAAAATCTTCCAATCAAATTCATTCAAAACCTTATTCGAAAGCTTATTCTTTGAGAAGTGGCATGTATTCGAAATATTTGCATGAAAATTAAATCGAGTATTATTTGAAGATCATTGATAAAATCTAATGAAACATCGTTACCGCTCGTGATGACCCCGAGATAGGGATGATTCCCTATGTTTTTAGACAATACAAAGGGTTAAACTATAAAATAATAATCAAAACGTTTCCGAAGAAAAAGATAGAAAAGGGAGATAGAAAATGTAGCACACTCACCCACATGAAGAATCTCCCCTGACCTGCCTGCCTGCCTGCCTGTGTCGAGAACGTTCCGTATATTATGTAGCATGAAACACACGAGGGTGGTGAAAGAGAGCAGGCAGGGGTTAACATGCGGGTGAAGACTATGCTGTGACAGCAACGTAACAGAAAAGAGGGTTCCGTACGCTACGTTGATGACATAATTGGTATCATTCTGCTTCTTCTTTTGAGGTAACCCAACATTCGGCTTCTCCTATCATCCATATTTGGGTACACTAATTTACACATCTCCCTTTTTTGTCCTTTCATTGATCGACTCAAATATCAAAAGCAAAACAAAAATGATGGATAATCATTGTAATTAGAGATTTATTTTTATTACATACTATCTAAATTATGAACAAAATAAAATGCAGTACACATCAGAAATGATTTCTTCAATTGTCAATCATTTTCAATGATCCAACGATAATTATGGCAGAAAATTGAATACTATGTATTCCTTTGGAAATGTTAGAAACAAGACTAAAAAGAACAAATCAAGAAAAAGAAAAAGAAAAAGAAAAAGGTAAAGATAGAGATAGGAAAAAAAAAAGATGGGGTGGATAGGAGCCCAGCTGGGGACAGATAATCAAATAACCTGCACGCACCGTATAAATTATCAATCAGGGCGCGATTGTGCAACCCTAACAGAGGGAGCCAGTCGCGTCACTCGGTAAGGGTTGTCACTTTATGTTCGTTTTATCCAGAGAACACACATATATATATATATATATATTTTTTTTTCCACACACATACCATTTGACTTGCACGTATATACTTTCACTGAAATAAATACACTTTCACCCACAATAATATGTTATATTCACTCACATAAATAGAGGTGGTTTTTACACATATACACCAAGCAGCAGCAGACGACACACAAACTCCTACACACATATGCACCAAGTTAAAATGATTTCTACATAACAGTTACCTTCCCTTTCGATGTGTGGGCGTATAGAGAACGTGAGTTGACGCCCACATTCTGTGTGCCGTCGACACGTGCGTCAGAAGGGTGTTAAAGAAGGTCAGAGGGCGCAACTCTGGAACGTCCATGCGTTTACGCAAGGTGAAACGCGCACGTGCGTTTATGTACGTAAGTTGTATGCTCGTTGAGGGGATGTTAAACCGATTCATTTCCACGTGTGTGGGGAATCGTCTTAAATCTTACATTTTTCAAAATAAAACTTTTTTATATTAATATTAAATTATTTCGATTGAACCAACTTGAATTTCGACGAACAAAGTTCGATTGGTGGATTTATTGAATGCACTTAATAAATGGCAACGAAATATTGATGACTTTAAATGTATGAATATTAAATAATATTAAAGAAACGTATGAAGAAAATAAGAGATAACTATCTCATGTAGGTTCATCGCATTGTCAGCGAGTTCTCGAGGGAATTACGCGAGGATTAATTTCGATAGTTTGAACGGGGCCTGAAACCTGAGGGCATTTACGCACACATTTGAACATCCCTTCTCAAGCCCTTAATTGGCTCGCGCGTACGTGGATGATACGCTTGTTGCAACGCTTTCTCACTCCTTTCGTGCGTGATCAAATACCTTCATCTAATCTACTAATCACACCTAATTTCATTATTTTCTTCTAACCTTATTTACACAGTATTTGAAAAAAGTAATGAAGATTAGACTAAGGCGTGCGTGCATTCGATCGGAAAGATCGTCCTCGTCGTCGTCGTCGTCGTCGTCGTCGTCGTCGTCGTCTCTTGGATGACTCCCGATGAAGGAAAAAGAAAGAATAAATAATAGATAGACCCGGTCGGCACGTTCCGTTGCTTCACCAAGCGGAATGCTATTGGTCTATTAAAGGATGCAGCCACGCGCCAGGATAAAGAATCCTGGGGTGGACTAAATGCTTTTCTATGGCCGCAGGCAATGAACGATTACCCGACGAAGCGACAACATTTTCAACGTTCTCACGATTTCGACTGTTCCATTATTTTACAATTTATATGCTCCAATGATTGATCTAACTTGTTAATGTAGAAGACGTGCTCTAGATACCTATTTTATTTTTTAATATAAATTACGAAATTATTGGGTAGTTCCATTTAAACGTATCGTGCAAATCAATACAAATGATCCATCAATCTGTAATACGATCGATCTCAAACAAAATGGCGTCCTGTAGTATATATTCGAAGTATGTGCAATCGATAAAGGAGAGATTTAACAGAGAGAGAGAGAGAGAGAGAGAGAGAGAGAGAGTTAGCTGGACTAACTCCAGCGATCCGTTTTATTTATCGTCCGGGATCGCTGTCTTACACGGTGCGCGTAAATGGCCCTGGGCTTTTATTTAATAAGTTGTTATAAATTAAAGGGCTACCGCATATTAAACCACCTTCGGCATATTTATAGTGATTCTTAAGAGAGTATATACCGGTCTAAGGAATATGTAAATCACGTGTTCTGCTCACCGAGTCCGTTTTTACTTGTCTCTCTTTCTCTTTCTCTCTTTCTTTTTTTTATTTTATATACGTATGTTTGTATGTATGTATGTAAGTCGCCCGATAGCGACGAGTATACACGGGCCTTACTTATGAATTTATCTTCGGCGATGAAACGACAAACGGTTTTAATTGCCGCCTTGGGCAAAATTGGTGATCTGCACTTCGACAACGGCAACGACAACGACAACGACAACGACGATGACGACGACGCCACCGCCGATATTCTCCAGAGCTTTTTGATAGTCTTCGTAGTCTTGTTATCCTCCAAAGAAGCAAAAAAAGATACAAAGAGAGGATTCTCAATTTTACATTTTGACATGACGCTCGCGGCTTACAATATGTCGACAAAGGAAATTGAACTAGTTACAGTTAGTATGGGTATGCTATCGAAAACCTAAATATGGCATGGCCAAGTGGCAACAGTCTCTTCCAAACTAACAGCATTTAATCCCGGTTTATCCCTTTGGGATGTTAACAATGCCTTATGTCGAATCCCTTTTGGCATAGTTGTGATCGAACGCGAAGGTTACACCAACTTACTGTAAGGATACACATTTCCTTGTTCACGGAGTTTCTAGGATAATTTCTAGGATAGTTTATAAGATAATCCGATCACCAAATTCCCTCCCTTTACAACTATCGAGCCTACAACTTCATTGTCGCCCTTATAATGGCACTCGGCAGACGTTTGCTCGAGTTATCTTTGCAAACGATACAAACGATACAAACGATACAAACGATACAAACGATCGTTCGATTAGGCCCCCCAGGGTATTATAGTTTTCTCTTAACGACCCTCTGCTATTTTCTTTTCTTTTGGATCCGTTCAAAAGTAAAATCTGGACAAAAATATACAAAATAAAAAGAGATAACAGGACAGAAAGTCCTTTTTTCTTTCTTTTTTTTTTTCCAAACGAATGACTTATGGCAAGCGGCACACTTTAAGTCGCATCTCGCGGGATTATAGGGAATATAGTGAACCATAAGGACAATCCTAAGGAATGCCGCCTATTTCGATTTGACCACATTAATATCGGATTATTTTTATTCATAAGAGAACTTAACTTTTATGCAAAATCTTATTTTTTCTACCGTTTGATCGTGTAATTGTTTTAGTTTTAGCTTTTTATGTTAGCATCTGTCTTTTTTTCTACGGTGTCGCCGAAAAATCATGAAATCCGACCACGTTATAATCGTGCGCATAGATCGTTGTACTGGCAGTGGTCTCGGTTCTTAGGGTATATCCTAACCAAGGGGGGTTAATATATTTTATCTACTGCCTGCCAACGTGCGGCACATATTCTCTCTCTCTCTCTCTCTCTCTCTCTCTCTCCCTTTGCCTTTTATATACCGCGCGCACGGTATTTATGTGTCGCCGCCTTTCCTAAGCGTTTGATATATGAACTATGAACGGACTTCGGAGGAGATGATAAAAGGAAAGAGAAAGCGAGAACGGATGAGAGTTCCAAACTGTTCAATCCTTTCTTTTTTCTTTTCTTTTTTTTTTTCTTCTTGCCAAAATTTCATACTTTTGATTACGTTTAAATAGTAGATTAGTAAGTTTGAAATTTATCGATTGATCTTGTCAACGACATTATTGTTTTCGTTATTTTTTGGTAAAATACTAAATAAAATAATATTGACAGTAATATTTGGCGAAAGAATTTCCAAGTAAAACGCTTATGAAAGGACGATATAAGCAAAATAACGATATAGCAAAGTTGGTGATGTTGAATACTGCAATTATCATTAGCAGTGAGTCAGTCAGTCGATCGTAAGGGAGTAACGTTTTACTCGTTACCATGTAATAACGTACTTACCAAGGAATGAGTTCTCTTTGAAGTTTTTTCCACTTGTCAACATGCTTACTAACATAAGTATAAAATCTCGTAGCAGCGTTTTCACTCAGGTCCGTTATATTAGTGCGTATTTCATCAAGGGGTATAACGTTTACGAGCAAAAAGCAAAAGAGAGGAAGAAAGAAAGATAGCGTCGCCATTATAGATACCCCTCTCCATTTTTATTACTTGCCGTAGATCGTTTGCATCGTTGATTACGAGAGCACCTCGTCGTCGGCCGACGGCTGACTGTGCTGGTGGTTGCGATTATAAACGCCATCCGTGGCATTCCGCCATTGCCAGTTTCTTTTTCCTCGAGGAATTTCCTTTTTGCCATAGCAAATGTTCTCCCTTAGAATACGGTGTAAAGTTTCGAAAAGTCTGGCACCACCACCACCACCAACAAGGAGGGTGCTCCCAAACGAAATGGCAAAGGACTTACAAGCGGCAATCACGGAGCTAAGTGTTAATCCAATCAACCTGCACGCCTCTTTCTATTTCTACCCTCGAATTATCTTCCTAACCTTTTCCTTCTCGATATCAACTCAACTTTCAAAACTTACTTTCCAAACGGTAACTCGACTTTAAAAACCTTATTTTCTACCCAAGACTATTTTCTTGTGCACATCATTGCATATAAATATTTGTAAAGCCAATTAAAGCTTCAAACTTATCCTTTGTAAAGTAAAAAATAATAAATGAAATATTTGTTGCTCGACTTGGAAATTTCATCGACGTAAATTTTCGTCCAGGCAACTTTATTAAACGACTCTCATCAGGTTTTAACGTATAACTATTAAATCTACTTGTGTCCCTGCGAACCTACACGCACACACACACACACACACACAAATACAAGTTGTAACGTATTTGAAAAAGGTATTCCTTCGGGTTCGTTCGGACGACCGGCAGCGAACGGAACCGCTATAAATTACAAATCGAAAAAAGGAAGCAACTATAAACGGCAACCGCGGCGAGTTACGATTTCGCGTTAAATATGAAATACTGCGATCCTTGGTCGTTTGCCTTCTTCTTCCTTTCTTCCTTTCTTCCTCTCTCTCTCTTTTATGCACTCGAGTCAACTTGCTATATTAAGTAAGTAGCTACTTACAATATTTATAATAAACTAAAACAAAAATATATGTTGAAAAAATGAATAGATACATTAGGTAATAGTAGTGGTTAGTCGTGTGTTTATTCCGCTGCTTTCCAATAATCGCGTATCGATTCGGTTTTAAAATGATATATCGTTTCGTTTGGGCAATAGCTCGTGTGAATAACGATAAAGGATATTTTCTTCGATATTTACGGCTGCAGAGTCCGTAGGCTTGCAGGTTTCCTTCTCTCTGTCTTTTTTAAAATCGTAACGAGTTCCAAGGCGAAAAGAACCTGCGCCGAGGGCGGACGGTTTGGAGCTCTCTCCAAATCGAGACGATTGGCCCATTAAAAAGAGCCTTATTAATATTGTAATTCCTTTTTAATACGCGTAAATCTCGGATCGGGACAAGGCCACCTCGGTGGACTGTTTTATGGTCGTAGAAGATATTTTCTCTATTTTTTTCTTTTTTATTGTCTATAGAAACCTAGGATTTCAATTTATTTATTTCCCTAAGAAAATAATAGCAAATTTATATGCTTTCTTCTTTATGAGATTGATAGATTTTCCAATAAAGACATTTTCCTTTCATCTTCCGCAATCGATTATAAAATATTTCATTATAAAACACCGGTTTTGTCAAAACTTTCGATTTGTAAGAAATGAAAAATGTCGTATAGAAAAGGAACGATACGGCTGAAATTGGATAAATTCAATTTCATTATTTCGAATGCCTGCCTTTCAGCCCAAAAGCCGCATTTGAATTAGAAGACATCAGAATTTCTAATTTCTAAACTAGCTTTGTCAATATTTCAGATTTATAAGTGAATTCTATTTAAGAAATTTAATTAAAACCTTTGGAAATCTTTTTTATAGAAATTAGAAAAATGGTGATACGTGAAACATGCTAATAGGTCGACGATATGTTAAGCAAGTATTAGTCAGCCAATATCAATTATGACAGTTTTATAATATTTTTCTTGTCTATTCTTCTTGCACTTTATCGCGAAAGTTTGTTCATATTGTCAAGTCATTTTTCTTTCGCAAAGGAAAGAAAAAAAGGCGTTGAAATGAGAAACTCAAAGGGAATGAATCAATATGTTTAAAAGGATTAGTAATGTTTCTTTTAAATAAATTCGAATATCACGAAAGTAGTTTTGTTCTTTTTTGTTCGTCTTGTTGTCCATCTATCTCATCTTCTCGTTCATTCTCGTCTTCTTTTTCGTCTTTTTTTTCGTCTTCTTTTTCGTCTTCTTTTTCGTCTTCTTTTTATCCTTCTCTATTTAGCTGGTCTCGATGCCGTGGTATGACGTGGTAAATTATATATTCACCAGCAACTGCGCCTGAATAATGGATCTTCCTTCGGCGCGAATGGCATCGAGAAGCGTTATTGATCACCGAAATATCAAAAGTAGGCGTATCCATCACCCGCTCGGACCACCGCACGTTATCCACCACCGACAAGAGAGAAAGAGTGTGTGCGTGTCGAAACGTTCACTCTTGCCAACAAACGTGTTCTTCCAATGTGCGATGGATGGACGTCGGTGGACGGGTGGACGGGTGGACGGTTGGACGGGTGGACGGGTGGACGGGTGGACGAGTGGATGGACAGACGGGTGGAATGTTCGTTCCTTCGTTCCTTCGTTCCTTCGTTCCTTTCTCTCTCTCTCTCTCTCTCTCTACCGACAATAAAATCGATTTTTCATGCGGGGCATTTATCATGGGTTCCTTCGCGGCTGATAATAGACGCACGTGGAAATACCATATAAATGTTTCGAAGTAAATAATCGTTACTCTCCGGGCTCGCGCGTATGGTTTAGCAGCTTCGATGTGCGCGAGCAACAACGTGCTAACGATCGATTTGTCTCCGTATCCACGTATTCGTTACACCTCCACCCAGAGAACTTTTCACGCCTTGGTATTTATACTCAACTTCATTATTATCAAAATCATCTTGCCCCTATGTTGAAGGACAAAATCCTAGGATCCTACAAATTCTAACTTGAATTAAGATAAAAAGAATAAAGTTCTTGTCGTTGGAGGATTTGACATTGGAGTATGCAGATCGCACGTGCGAGTTAGAAATAGGAGAAGCCTCTTCTCACCGAGATAAGAGAATCGATCGAATCGCTCTATTGTATTGAACGATAATCGCTCGGTTCTGTAACACTTGTCTCTTCCATCTTCCTTCTCGATTCGGACCTTATAAAGGGGAGCGCCACTTTAGTCCTGGCACCCTCGATATCAGCGGGGTACTAATCGCTACAAACTTCAACGAGACGAACATTTCCTTTTTTCTTTTTTCTTTTTTCTTTTTTCTTTTTTCTTTTTTTCCTTCGACAAATTAACTCAAAGGCTACTGGAATTACGCGCGATAATAAGCTACACGAAATAATATTTTGTCGAAAGAACAACTCTACGAGAGAAAAGATAATTTGATAATTAACCGATTAATTAATCTCTATCAAATAGAATAGAAAAGAAAAAGGATGGCAGTTGGGGTGTTGGTTATGTTTATTATCGTAGCAGAGGAAAGAGAAAGTGCTCGTTTACAAGGTAGAACTATGCTCGGCCAGGTGGTCAAACGATATACTACTCTTCCAAAACCTTCCGTCAAGGATGACCCCCAGCTGAGAATTCCCCAGGCTTTTTATTTTTATTTCTCACCTCCTACAGCGTTACCTCTTCATCTTTGCGAAGCACACGTACACTCGCTCCGTAGTTCCTTTCTAAGACCTCATTTTTGTCTATCCCTGTTTTATAATGTACAAGTAAATACGTAGCTTTTGCTTCGATTATTTAAATCATCTTTATCCGTCGGATTTGCAGCTTAAGCAGGAAGCTATTGTTTTATTACAAAAGAGATCATAACTTTCACCTTTAGTTTTTAATCCATCCGGCATCTGTTGTCTGTAGCTGTGCTGTGACCAACTTTTATTTTGGACAGGCTAAAATGCGATTAAAAGTATCGTCAATTTTTCTGTTCACATTTTCCGAGAGATACTCCTACAGTATCTAATTTATCTATTTATCCTATTCTCCAAATAGCTACTTAAAAACTAATTTCAAGTCTTCCCTTTAAAAATGAATCCAGTGACCTAGTGCAGAAACGTATTGCGAGGATAAAAAGAACTTCACATGAGAATTGAGCTTTATTTTTTGTTCTTATTTTGTGTATTATTTTGCTTCTACTCGTCGTCGTCGTCGTCGTCGTCGTCGCGAAAGTCATTGGTAGGTGGAGGACTCGGAACCCTTTTGGTTTCTTATTTCCTCATAAATAATTTTAATGACGCACCGTAGCAGTTCAAATATATATAAGGCGGGATCCGAGACCCGTACCTGTAGGCAGCCTTGTATTCTTATTTATTATGTTACCTATACATATATGCACGATTATATGCATGCGAGAAGTCGCGGGATATGCCGCGGGATGAGTCTATGAAAAGACGAGCGAGAGAAGGAACGAAAAAACGAACGAGTTGCTTGCCAACCTGTTTTTTCTCTTTTTATGTTAAGCTTTCTTTTGCCCTCTACGCAACCAAGGCGACTCCAATTAATCAATTTCGAACTTTACTACTATCGTCACCTTACTTCTCTTTTTCCTTTCATATATTATATTTTCTTAACGGACGACGACTACTTCTATTCATTTAATTTAACGTTGACATTAAATAATAATGACCAACACAGACAAAAATAAAAGAAAGAAATTTCATAAATATTCATTTATTAAATAACAAAATAAAATGAATTCCTAGAAATTCCAACTATTCTACTACTATTATATAGTAGGTATTAGAAATAAAAGAAAAAAAATAGTCAAATTTGATAATACACATTTGAATTGAGCAAAGGAAGAAAGTAGTTTTTAAAGGTAATCCGTGAGAGAGAGAGAGAGAGAGAGAGAGAGTCGTGCGCACGCCAGAGCGCACGCCAGAGCGCACGCCAGAACGCACGCTTGGATTTTTGGCGACCGCGTGGCGGCACTGCTGTCGGCACCTCTGTCGGCACACAAAGTCGAATAGGCGTGGTTTAAAAGGGCCAATCAGTGGCAAGTATCGTAGCGCCGTTTAAATTGAACGGAGATGAAAAAGATGGCACGCCTCCGTGGTTCCTCCTCCTTCGGTTCTCTAGTCGACTCTCGGTGAAACTCAACTCGTTGGAGACGAGTAGAGTTGCGTTTCGCGCAAAGGTTCTGTGTGCGCGCGCCAAGCGACTATTTTCGATTTGTCAGTGTCACTTTTCGCGATATCGCGATCTCAAAAATGGCCCGACGCCAGTATTTTATTTTGTGATTTTCACTATTTTATAGTTGTACGGTGTTGTTGTACAGTGTCATTGTAGGGTGTCATTGTACGGTGTCATTGTACGGTGTCCTTTTAAGGTTCATTGACCAGTCTAATCAGAAAATACAACTATGAAGGTACGCTCTTCATTTATAATATGTTTATACCTACGCCTATAGCTACGCCTATAGCTACGCCTATAGCTACGCTCATATTATGTCAAATCGGATCTTTCAACACATTCCAATTTCCATCTTGGTTAATTTTAGGAAATTTACAGTGTACGCAATTATTGCTTCATCGTAGGATTGACTTGTTGTCATTTTGGATATATATATACACGTGGCGTATTATCAAATATTTTTATACGAACATTAAAGATGTTTAGTTTTACACTCCTAGGAGAAAGATTGAAAATGATTTAGATTATGAAGATAATTTGTGACTTGCATTACTTGTGACTTTTGGTTATTACGCATTAACTCTTATCTTATCTTGAATATTTAATCATTATGGTTATTAGATTATTAGGTGTTTGTGGTTCTAAAAGTGTTATTTCGTTGACAATATAAATGAAGTTGGTGGTGTTGGTGCATTGCATCCGGTTTAACAGATATCTATATACATATATACTAGCGTTCATCTTTCGTCGTTCACCCTGTTCCCCATGAGACAGTTCCACAACCCACACGAGAAGGTGTGGGCTAAAGTTCCGTCGCAGCTACGTAGTATAACGACGTGTGTGGTCCAGTAAATTTTCTCCACGTAAATTCTCCACGTAAATTCTCCACGTAAATTCTCCACGTAAATTCTCGACGTAAATTCTCAACGTAAAGCGCAAAATGGCGACTGGACATCAGCCTTATCCGAAGTTATAACGGCTTCGCGGTTTTTAGCTTGTCGCGCTTTCCTATACAATCCTTTCTATAGGATTAGCTTTCAAATATCTTATGCGAGTACGTACGAATGTGTAACCAAGCAACGCGTCTTCTCCTCGCTATGAACTATGCTTATTCTAACATTTATTTCTTTTTAGTACGAGAGAGATTTCAACTAAACTTATATTTATATTCAATTATTAAATAAACATGGACCGCGTATGTTTTTTTTTTTTTTTTTTTTTTTATACAACTATTAAGTTATAAAACTGACCGATAATGTTGACATTCAAATTGGAACGATCGGGGGAAAAAAAATGAATGTCGTCATTTGGATCGTCAACACGTCGTATTCCTTTCAGAATTCGTAGAAAACGTTGACTTTTACGGTGTTATAAAATGATAATAAAACGTAGGATCGGGGACAAAGCCATGTGAAAAATATGTAAATGACTCTATTTCTTTGGATTTTTTTTCCCTTCTTTTTTCCTTCGAAACTGCACTGCGACGATGAATTAATAATGGGCAAGACGAGAGGATGCGCGTTTGTGCCAGGCCAATGCGGTTATGCTAATTGGTAGAACGATTTTATTTCTCTAAGCCACACGAGTGGGAATTTTGCTACGTCGATGACAAAGTGCTTCTTGTGAATCGGAGACAAATCAAATAAAATAGCTTAAAATAACAAGTAATACGTCGCGTAACACCTTTTATATTGGCTCGTTTGAATCAAAAAAAAAAAAAAAACAAAAAAAAATATATATTATTTTGGTGCTAATTTCTCTAATGATCAAGATGTAGAGTTTTCAACAATAAACTATAAATAGGACGAAGAAAGGCGCTATACCAGTTTTCATGAGCAAATGACATTAGAAAGGTTCCTATACAAATCCAAAATCAAAGTATCACCTCGAATTCGAGGGCTTACAAATTCGTGGGGCGTGTAAACTTAAACTATCGGAAGAAAAGAGTATAGGAATAGGAAGGGAAAAGGAAAATGAGAAGGAAAGATAGAAAGAGGAGCAGGATAAAGCATTTGGTACACAGTATTGTTACGGCTCATTCGTTCCTCTAGCAAAGATCGTTCATCGCTTTTGGTCGCGTGGTTAATACGTAGTCCGAGTTAATCGTCAAATGGATCCTCAATAGGACTATATAAAGAAGAAGAGAACTTGCTATCTTTCTCTTTCTCGCTTATTCCAAGAGGCAACGGCAACGGCAACGGCAACGGCAACGGCAGCAGCAGCAGTTTCTCTCCCATTCTCTCTCTCTCTCTCTCTCTCTCTCTCTCTCTCTCTCTCTCTCTCTCTTTCTCTCTCCCCCCCCTCTTTTTCTTTCAACTCAGTATCCGCCAGTATGTCGAGAGTCGTTAGGAANAAAAAAATATATATTATTTTGGTGCTAATTTCTCTAATGATCAAGATGTAGAGTTTTCAACAATAAACTATAAATAGGACGAAGAAAGGCGCTATACCAGTTTTCATGAGCAAATGACATTAGAAAGGTTCCTATACAAATCCAAAATCAAAGTATCACCTCGAATTCGAGGGCTTACAAATTCGTGGGGCGTGTAAACTTAAACTATCGGAAGAAAAGAGTATAGGAATAGGAAGGGAAAAGGAAAATGAGAAGGAAAGATAGAAAGAGGAGCAGGATAAAGCATTTGGTACACAGTATTGTTACGGCTCATTCGTTCCTCTAGCAAAGATCGTTCATCGCTTTTGGTCGCGTGGTTAATACGTAGTCCGAGTTAATCGTCAAATGGATCCTCAATAGGACTATATAAAGAAGAAGAGAACTTGCTATCTTTCTCTTTCTCGCTTATTCCAAGAGGCAACGGCAACGGCAACGGCAACGGCAACGGCAGCAGCAGCAGTTTCTCTCCCATTCTCTCTCTCTCTCTCTCTCTCTCTCTCTCTCTCTCTCTCTCCCCCCCCAAATGTTCACAATAAAAGAAGAGAAGAACGAGACCGCTGACATTGTAGATGCTCAAAAGTAGAAATCGGATGATGATTTAAATGGATTTCGAGTGGCTGGCCGTTTTACACATTTTCTGTCTTTCTCCCCTCAAAGGTAGAACAAGCTAAAAGAAGCGAAGAAAAAGAAGAAGGTGAAACACCATAGATATACCTGCGGAGTATCACCATAGGAACCTATCTTTTCTACGAAGAAGGCACGAAGAAGCTCGTGCCCTTCTCGAGAGATACAAAAAGTTTACAAGTATTATTTTCACCGTCTCCCTCTCTCTCACATATACACTCTTATATTAGTATCCTCGTTTTAGCTGCAAGAACTCTGCAAGGATACCCGTAGCGGACCACTTTGTCAACTTGTCACCTGGACTCGCCTCAGATACGCAAAAAGAAACGGAGAGTCGCTCTTTTTCGCACCAGGAAGTCCAGCGATATTTTTTGTCTTTTGTGTTTTTTTTTTTTTTTCTTCCTTTCTTTCGAATCAAAGTGAAGTAGAGAGGAGTGAGAGAAGAAAACTAGATAGCAATGTATTTTACTAATCCGCTACTAAAAGATAAATACAAAGTTGAAATTTATTTATGAATTTAACGTTGGAATGTCAATCAAATCTTAACATGACATACCTATATAGTATTTGTGCGTATACATTTTGATATCATAATCGGATAAATCCTACTTTCCCAGGTACAACAAATTCTAGTTTGAAACACATATTCGCCACACATTCGACTTCTTTCTTACGCGCTTTTATACAAAATGATCATGAACCACCATTTTTCTCTTTCGAGTGGCTTTCAGTCCCCTTTTTCCAATAGGGTAAGAAAGAGAGGGGCCTTAGTGGATATGACTTTCAAAGCTGAAATCCGATCAACGGGGGGTCTTTAACAGGGGTTCTAACGAAGGGCCCAGGTCTGTCCTATGATTCTCCGAGTTCTCTGTCATTTTGGGTTCGCGACACGATTCCCATTGTAAACGATACTTATTTTCCCGCAAACCGAACAGCTAGAAAAGAAAAAGAAGAGAAAAAGAAAAGAAGCTACTTCTACCAATACAACACGTATTATTATACACTTTTTGTATAGTCCAATGATTTAGTTAGTTACTAACATAAATTTAAAAATAATCTTACTTTTTATTAGAAAAATCGAGATGGTATATTTGAAGTATCTATAAGTTATAGGTATAGCATGTCGTTTCGTTCGACATGGAACAGCAAAGATCTATGAAGAAGCAAAAATATTTGGCAATAAGACTTAAGCTTGATTCCTCTTAGCGAAGGCACATATTTCATATCTGATAAAGAGTAGATTAGACGGATAATGAAAAGACGTCTAATCCTCCGTTTTACGATCCTAGGGGTCATTATTGTCGTCTATAACTCTCCAAAAGCCGAGTCTTTGGAAGCTAGCGTGGGTGCGCTACTAGAGAGTTATTTCAAACTCACAACTCCAAGTGGCAAGTGCAATTTTCGATATTTATTATACCCTATTACACCATTGTCAATTCGTTCTAATCGAATGAGAATACATGGAAAAAGAAATATATATTAATACAATACTTCTTCTTATTATTTTATCGGAAAATAATGATAAAATGTAATGTGATGTAAATGTAAAAAATGATTCTCTCGTCAAAAAGGTTTCGGAATGTAACGTTTCTTTGGATCATAGCTGAAAAACACATCTGTTTGTGGAGGTTCTATTATCTGAACCAATAGTCAAGGAGTATCGAGCAACGACGGGTGGTAAAACTGCAGCCGGTTCGACGTGCGAACATTTGGTTGGTTATGGTTGCTGGTTAACCGAACGTCACAGTTCCACAAGGGTGTGTGTGTGTAAAGTTACATAATGTCATTGTAATGTGATACACGCGTTAGCAGCTTCCCTACGAGTATTATGTTTGTATCAGTACTTACATTGGAACGGAGCGTGGTTTCGTCTCCTAGCCATTTGTAATGCATTGGATGATTCCACACTCGTAAAGTTGGTTCCGAGCGTGCGACAGACCTGTCAAGAGGGGCGTGATTTTTCGGGTCAAATTTAGGAGTGGGGATCCTCGTCACTCGTGAGATCGACTTTAGGAAAACTACTCTGCCATTTCTCTCGCATATGGTAACTATGGTTTTAATAAAAACAATTTGTTCAACGTAAACCTATAGAAGAAGATCATGACAAATAGAGGCTAGTTTGTGAATATTACAAAATAATGATTAAAAGATAACAAAAGTAACCCGAGTGAAATTCTGACGAAATAAAAATGAAGATGGAATACCGATTGTAATCCTTCTTCCTGATGACAAAAAAATAGTTGATTTTTGTCGGCGTGGTTAACCGATCAAAAATATGCTTAACGTCCTAGAACGAAATTGGTATTGTCAGAAAACCTGTGTATGAAAGAGTCGCTCGCATCCATCAAAGTTCCATCCTTCATGGTTTCGTGACACACGTTGAATTTTACCAATCGTGTCTGCGTTTATTATATAGGATGGGACAATACGATAGAATTTGTACGAGAGAGAGAGAGAGAGAGAGAGAGAGAGAGAGAGAGCAGACGGAGGTTTGTATTTTTGTGTTGGCGATTGTAGTAAAAATATTGTCTTAAAAATGTAGATTTGGATGAAAAGAAATAAAAAAACATGCAATGTTGCTTATTTATAGACGGAAGTTGAGGATATAAACGGCGATGGCGTGTGCGAAGGTACAGGTCCGAGTCTGGGTCCGAGTCTGGGCCCGACGGAAAGCACCGGTGGCCTCATCGGATCGGACATGTCCCCTGGTGTAATGGAGTGCGGTGGATGCGGCGAACGCGTCCGAGAACGAACTATTTTGTGCGTTGGCGGCCGTACATGGCACTCGAGGTGTCTTAGGTGTTGTGCTTGTGCCAGACCGTTGCACGATCAACACTCTTGTTTCTTAAGGGGCATGCGACTCTACTGCAGGCACGACTACGCTTTGTAAGTCATTTTATTCTTCTTTTTTTCTTTTATTAAATCTTCTCTAATAAAAGTACTACTTTCTTCCTATATCCAAAAGTACTTTTTTCATCCCTATCCAAATTTTGCATAACTTGAGCATGAAAATCACTTGAATGAAAATTATTGGGTGCCAGCGCGATCTTCTTACTTTTAATCTAAACAAGGAGGAGGAGGAGGAGAAACGATAGACCGGTTAGTCCGGCAACCTTGTAGAATGCGAAACGTTTGAGAATCGAGTATCGCTTGTCCTTTCGATGATACAGATACAGATACAGGGTTTAACCAATACACACCTATTACTTGAGAACGTATACGTAGTGTTAGAGCTATAATATGTGCCGCTCATTAAGCAAACGCAGTTAAGTCGAATCTCAGGATCTTCGTTGACCAATAAAAGGGAGTATTTTGTGGAGGACATAAATCGAAAGAGAACACAACGTTGTAATTGGCACCGTTATCGAACCCAACTTTCGATTCATATACGAGATATCTCTTGGCTTTTCTCGATTTAGTGTTCTACCTGACAGAAACGTGTGATATGTGTCTCTCTCTGTGTGTGTGTCTGTGTGTGTTGTGTGTGCTGACTATGAAATGTTTCATCGAATATATAACGCGCGCATCTCTTGTCGAAGATAAAACAGCAGTCCACACACACACACACACACACACACACACATTTGGTTACTTATATTATATATTTTACGTAATTTCTGGCGTTCAATGTTGTCCAAATTTCAGTGGAAAGAAAATATTAGAAGAAACGTTTGCTTATATAAGCAGTGATGAACTTTGGCATAGAAATGTTCGTTACAGGAGATGATCCCGCTAGTAGCCTCGGTGTATGGACGTATCTCTTTTTCTCTTGGAAGAGTTCGAAATGACTCATCGATTGTATAGACAGACGATCCTACGAGCAAAGACTTCCCAACGTGTTTATCCAACTGTCAATCAGTTGGCACAGTCACCTGGCTGGCTCACCAGCCCACCAAAGTCAAGTATCGTGATATCCGATCGCCGTAAGCTCGATATCGCTGTCGGCATTATCAAACAGGAAAATCGACCAAAGGAAGAGAAAAAATAACAGTATAGGGAGAATAATTAACGCGTCTTACATCCGATTTCTTATCCAAGAAATGGGCACGATTTAAGGGAAGGAAAGAACATGCGGGAGGTCCCGAGGAATTTGCCGCGTAATTTTTTGACTCGTGCTTTTCGCCTCGTAATGGTGCCTTACTATACTGGCGACCCGGTCGACGAGAGATCCACGACCCCCGTACCACCCGTACACCACCAGTCGTCGACAAGGGATTTCTCTTCCTTATAAATCATCCAAAACTATACGTACTCCATAAGAGAAAATAATACTCTAGAATATTGTGAAGGAAGGAGGTGTCAGGCCCACCAGAGTAGTCGCGTGGCCTCGTAAGATATCCCAGCGTGGGGGCGTTCGGTTAGTCCGGCGAAACCGGACGAGGAATCGGGATGCACTTTCCGTGTTCATGAATATGATAATGGGCTAATGGCTGGCTAGTCGTTGTTTAATTACCGCTCCAAGCACACACATCGAGTTAAGAGTTAAGGAGTAGGAGGGGAAAGATTCTCCAGTGCCATTCATCTAGCGTTGCCATTCTATACGTGCTATACCAACATGCTATACCAACATGCTATACCTACGTGCTATACCTACGTGCTATACGTGCGTGTGTCGTGTACCATGCTCGTGTCCCTGCCGGTGGTACATGGCTACCGTTTACATCCAATCCCCCTACCTTTTATCTTCATTTTATTTTATTTACGGCTTCTACAAACTTTTCTACTCTTGCAAATTCTTTTTTTAATTTTAATTGTTCTAAACTCTATTCCTTGTTCTCAAAGATCACGAATATTCCTTTAATAATGATCATTCAAAAAATAAAATAAGAAGAAGAAGAAGAAGAAGAAGAAGAAGAAGAAGAAAAAAAGGGGAATTAATTATAAGCAATAATCTTGGAAGGAGTTATAAGGAATACACTTATAGAGGAGTTCGCTTTTCACGTGCTAAAGGAGATAATAAATGACCGTGAAACACGCGGGACATTGGTCGTGGCTACTTACTTTCTTTATTTGTCGTAAGAGTAAAAAGTCCTATCTACCCAACTAAACAGGGTCTTATCTAATCGCAAGAGTGGAACTTGGAGAAGCAAAAGGAACCTGCGAAATCGTTTCTTTCCTTCTTCTTATTTGCTTCTTTTTGTCAACGAAGAAGCTCAGAACAGATTACGAGCGGCTTTCATTTAACAGCAATACACCCTCTTGTCTTACGCTTTCTACTTTGCTTTGAGTATATCGGTAATTAATGCGAGAAAAGGATCCTACCAAATGAAAATACAACAAAAGAAAAAAAAACAAAGTTCAAAACTACGCTCATTTTGTGCTTCTCTTTGAACCATTTGATATATACCTAAGTTAAAGTATAAATGGAAGAGCATTAAATTGATTAGAACATAAATGCGTGCATCGATAATGGATTTAAGTTCATGCGCCGTAAGATTTGTATATGCGACGATCCCTGATAAATCGCAATGGATATATTCGAGCAAGCACGCGACTCTCTTCAATATTTTTCTTCTCTCTTTCTTTAAATCCTTCTATGCAGCTGCGAATTCATTCGCTTTATTTATCAATGCCGGATATATTCCCTTTAATACGAATACGACTAAAAATAATATTGCATTGCATTATCCTTAATAAATAAATGAAAAATAAGTATAGGTACATCGACTGTATATAAATCAGCAGATAAATCTTTGGCAGGAACTTTTCGGACAGCTTAATACAACATTAATACACATTTGTGAAGATATTGTTTTTGAAAAATATCTATGTTTTCAGAACATTTGGAGCAAAATGTGCGAAATGTGGACGAAGCGTAGGTGCAGGTGATTGGGTTAGAAGAGCCCGAGAACGGGTTTATCATTTAGCTTGTTTCGCTTGCGACGCCTGTTCACGTCAATTGTCAACTGGGGAACAATTCGCACTCCTAGATGCACGTTTACTCTGCAAAGCTCACTATTTGGATGTCATCGAAGGGAACAACACTTCGTCCGATGGTGAGACTGCTCGCAAATTCTAGTTTCAATAGAATATCTTGAAATGGTTTATTTGAGATAATTAAGCGAGGCAACAAAACTAATGAATACCTTCGCAGAAGGCGGTGACTCCGAGAGCGGTCATAAGGGTGGTAACAAAGCTAAGAGGGTAAGGACAACGTTCACCGAGGAACAACTTTCCGTTCTCCAAGCTAATTTCCAGTTGGACAGCAATCCTGATGGGCAAGACTTGGAAAGAATAGCACACGTGACTGGACTAAGCAAAAGGGTCACGCAAGTATGGTTTCAAAATTCAAGAGCGAGGCAAAAGAAACATCTTCATACTGGAAAAATGAAAGGCCAGCATGGTATTAATGAAGAATTTTCAATTTCTCATCATTATAATTGTTCATTTGAATAATTAATCATAATCATATATTTAAAATAATAAATATTGTTGTTATAGTACACCAATCTCCACCAAATTCTACAACATCACCGGCTGACTTTAGTCGACACATCAATTTACACCTGACCTATTCTTTTCAACATCAGCAACATCAGCACAGTCAGCAACCGGTACAACTCAGTCCAGCTGTCTGTAAAAGTCCCACGCCTTCGATTTATCATAATCATGGTATGCGTTCGTTAACGAATTGAAGAAAATTGTCAACGAACAAACAATTCTTTTTTAACTTGAAAGACAAGATTTGTTTGTGCTATTTTTAGGTTCGGAACAATCAATGGATGAACTTTCGCAAGATTCCATGATGTTATCGATGCCGAACGAAGTATAATTGGCGCCGTTGGATCGATGATTAAGTATTTGTATATATTCTTTCATCTTTTTCTTCTGATCTTTTTTTAATATAATAGCTTTCGTTCTAACGCTACTTCCGGATGGACCTTCCAACGGCGCGTTGTATTTCTAAAATATACTTTCCATCCTTTATTTTTCTCTTCAAATGTCTACTTGTTTCTACAATTACATTAGTGGTGGATTTGAACAATTGTTTAGGCTATTAGGTTCGGTTTTCATTGAAAACCGAATAATAAAAGTGCCAATACTTCCACTTTGACATTTCCTTTATATATTCCTTGTAACTAAACTTACAACAACTAAATCTCTTTCCACCGTTCTACGTGTCCTGTATATAATTTTTTTATTTGTAAATCATTCGGACGCGCGATCTTTTCTGATCAATTGTCATTGCTTCTCATCAATCTTTAAGAATGTAAAGTTACATTTATTAAGAATAAAATCAACCTAAAACAGGGTTGTAATAGTTGATGTCATTTTCAATGACGTCACGAAGCAATATTCCCAGTGAAAGTATCTTTTGCAATACTTACAATTAGAAAACGAAAAATGCTCTATAATGATTTTATTTAATATAAATGTACTATGATGTAAATATTGTAAACTATGCTGCTATAAAATATACGGTTGAGTATACACACAATATATACACACATATATATCTATATACATATATACCTACGTACCTGGAAATCCTGGAAACTTCAAATTCCTATTTTCTCCGTACTTTTACGATTTTTTTATACGATTATATATTTGAAATAAAGTATTATTAATTAATAAAGAAAGAAAAATGCATGCCAATAACGTAAATGCATGTATTGTATAACAGCAAAAAGACATTTTTATTATTAACAATATGGTTTATAACATTACAATGATAAATGTGCAAGAACGTTATCGTACATATTATTATAGTACATTATTTTAGAAGATTTGTATGTACAAAAGAGGTTCCTTAAAGAATGGAAGAAGAGAGGCTGCATTTGATTTATTTACAATCCTATTTATATAAAAAAATATCAAAGAAAGTTTACTTATATAACTACGTATCTTCTTCTTCTTCTTCTTCTTCTTTAAACTTATTTTAATTCATACAAATTCGTTTTTATCAGATGAAGGAGAATAGGAAAAATTTCATTTCATTCTTTATCTGTTCTCTTTTTATTATTATTAATATTTTGCACCGATGTATATCGCTGACGTCGAATAAATAAAGATTGAAAGTTCACGTCTATGATACTAAATTATTGGAGTTGTCAGGAAAGTTCGTGCCGATCTGTAAATAGATAAATACTTAGTATATATTAATTTGAATAAATTACAATAATCTACAAGTGCATAGAATAAATTATTGTAGGTAGATATTATTTTATTTCTATAAATAAATATATCGCGTATCAATTGATTTATAAATCACCCGAATTTTTCCAAAGAAAGATTTTTCTTTTATCTCTATGTACATATAAAAAAAAAAAAACAAAAAAAAAAAAAAAAAAGATCGGCAAGTATCGAGAATAGATTTTTATCCCGTCTGATGACAAAATTGTGACTGATGGTGAGTAGGAGTGGTTGGTGTTAAGGGTGTCATTGGTGTCAGTGGAGTTAATGGACTTCCGGGGCTCTCACTTCCGGCACTGCCACCTTGGTAACCACCTAGGTAGGCTCCGACCACGTTCACCCCACTGGGATATAATTCTGTTGGATGATGCATAGGCGGTGAATGATGCACTATGAAAATAAAGCACAAGACATGACTAAACTAAATGCAATGAAATAAATAGGAAAGACTCACTTTGAGTTTTGATTTTTCCGCTGTGTTTCTTCTGTCTTGCCCTAGAATTTTGAAACCAAACTTGGGTAACCCTCTTGCTAAGACCAGTAACGTGTGCTATCCTCTCGAGATCCTGACCATCTGGATTACTATCTAATTGAAAATTTGCTTGCAATACGGAAAGTTGTTCTTCGGTGAAGGTCGTTCTCACCCTTTTCGTTTTACTACCCTTCCCACCGTGTTCAGAATCACAATCTTCGGAGGAAGATGTATTATTGCCTTCTACCACATCGAGATAGTGTGCCTTACATAATAATCGAGCATCCAACAGAGCAAATTGTTCACCGGTCGATAACTGACGCGAACAAGCATCACAGGCAAAACAAGCCAAATGGTAAACCCTTTCGCGGGCTCTCCTAACCCAATCACCCGCACCAACACTTCGTCCGCATTTCGCACATTTAGCACCGAACGTTCTGAAACAATACAATTTTCAAGGGACTCATTAAGAAGAGAAGTAGTCAATTTTCATTAACTTTAATTTACTAGGAAAAAAAAAAAAAAAAAAAAAAAGAAAAAAAAAAACACCCAAAATCCTAGAGTTGCAGGTTCATTGAGGACCGTCGGACCCGACACACACACACGGACGGACGGACGGTCCTGTCCTCATTAACATACTACGTCCAGCAGGGGCCCTGCTGGTGTTGTTGCTTGCCATCGCGATTTGGGAAGTAGATTACGTCGAGATTATCTCGACGTCTCAGTCACGGCTTCAACAAATGATTCGAATCCTTTGATTTTCTACCGACGATGATAGCAAAGGTTGATGATAGCAACGTTATTACAACGATACTATATTCCTAGTTTTCTATCAACTCGTCTATTGCTATAATACAAATTTCTATTTGTAACATTACAAATTGTACAATAAGCTCATTCGACGAATATACTTTACATGTAAAATTGGACCATATCAAATTTCCCGTATTTCATCTTTCGTTAACAATATTCCGATGAGAAAGCTTTTTTTAGCTTTTCCTTGTGAAAAGAAAAGAAAAGAAAAGAAAAGAAGAGAAGAGAAGAAAAACAGTTGTAGATGGGATCAAACTGGAAATATAAAAATTCAAAGGGAAGAAAGCAACCACGCAAAAGAATAAGGAGGAGAAGAAAAAAAGAAAGAAAAAAAGAAAAGAAAAAAGAATTCATTGGTCCTCCATCGAGAGTGTAAGGTTATTGTATGGAAAAATATGGTAAGCCAGGGAAGGGATTAGTCTCGGTCCTGTGCATAGTCATCTTCCTATCTCAAAGATATTTTCGGGGTATTATTGGTTATGTTGATCGTGTAAAGGGCACGCCTAGAAGCCCTGTCTCGGACACCTAGACGAGAGAGAGAGAGAGAGAGAAAAAAACAACAGCTACCGCATAGTCGAATCAAATCGCGATATCTTCCAAGAGATTGGCTATGGTAAGGTGGTATTTGCATAAACAGTGGCGCCACCGCCCTTTACCTCTTATACTCTTAACTCGTGAAGGGAGTAAAATAAAGGTCTGTGTAACCAAGGTACAAGAGAGAGAGAACTGGTATCGGGTATCTATAAATCTTAAGAGTCGTACGTCGGCTACCAAACGGCTCCGCCCTAATTTATTCATTTGTTCTTCGACATAGGCGGGCCCTATAAGTCAACGGAGGATTAAGTCGGATGCTAGCCGGCGACCCCAGAGTAATGCAGCACCACTACAATCTGCATGCAGATCACGATCACGATGCTGCTCCTACACGCCGATCGTGCGACTTGCCGAGTAATTAGCCCTTCCAATGCATTCCTTACTACTTTCCTACCTATCTAAACGACAAACAACCTTTTACTTTTGTCAATAACATTATCAAAATAGGTTAAAATGTGTAGTATGTTGCAATATTGCTAGTTCATCCATGGCTAAACAACTGGCTAATAGAACAATTTTTCTTCCTTCTTCTCTTTTCCTTCTTTTTTTTTTTTTTCATTTTTTTCGTCGGCCCTTACGATAGGGTTAAAGGAGCGCTCGATAACGCAAGAGGATGGGTAAAAGTGTCAGTGAATATTTATTAATTTAAAAGGCAGCTCTCGCGACTTGAAAAGCGCCGGGATCCTTGTGATAGAAAGAGAAAAAGAATCGTAGGGGTCCCGTCTCGTAGGGCCCCGAGGACCCGGGCCTTACGAGGCGAATTCCTTAGGACCTTTGGAACACTGACACTCGGCAGCCTCGACTCGCGTGACTCGGCACCCACGTAGTACACGTACAACGTACTGCTAGAATATTTACCTCCTAAACTAACTCCCCCTCGTCCCTCCTACAATAACTAAATATTCTATAATATGATCTTTGTCGTAAGAATTTCCTACCAAAGTTTATGTATCATAATTATTTTCGATGAATAATTTATTAAAGGTAGGTCAATTTTCGGTTTGAGAATGAGAACATAAACGATACCCTAAAGAATTCCAATCCAATGATCCTTCCTGTTGAATCTTTAGATCCTTAGGATCGCGAATGTTGCGATGATCGAGCATAGATCCCGACGGTCTCGAGACACGGTCCCAAGACACGGTCCCAAGACACGGTCCCGAGACACGGTCCCAAGACACGGTTCGGCTTTTTCTTCGAGTTCACCGGCATCGGGACACCTTCTACGTCAACGTGACTTCGCAGGTCGTGCACGAGCATGAGTGTACAGTGATGTGAATAGTCGACTGTACGTGAGGTCTGAAGGAGGAGACGACGACGACGACGACGACGACGACGACGGCAACGACGACGACGGCGACGACGACGACGACGAAGACGACGACGACGAAGACGACGATGAACAAGAATAGA